AGCTCAATAGCAACTTATTTGAGGATTTATTTGTTAAAGGTCTCTGAGATTGACGGTGCTGTGTTAAGAACAATAATTGAAAGTGTGAACGTGAATGCAGCAATTTTGGACATATTCAGCAATTTCACTGGACGTTGCCTCATGTTTGGGTAAAAACATAAGGGAGATAAAATGTACTTTGGAGGCCTTTAATAAACGTGTATTAGTTTGTTGTGTCTAGACTAGGGATCATTTTAAAAGTTATTCAGCATGTCTTAAGGTTAGTGAAGTATTTGTATTTTATTAATACAAAAGAAAGAGCTAGCTAATGATCTCTCTGACTCGTTGCATTTGTATCTGAGGGGTCCGATCATGTCTCTGAGGGTTTTCCCTTTCCTGTAGTGTGTTATATAATGTAGGTGTGTGTGCATGTAAGGCAAGGCAAGTTTATTTATATAGCACCTTTGAACACAAGGCAATTCAAAGTGCTTTACAAAAATAAAAGACATTAAGAGCATTAAGAAACATATTATGAAATGACATTTAAAAACACTCATTTAAAAACAAAGATAAAAACAAGATAATAAAAGTTACAGTGCAGTTTAAGATATTAATATATCAATTAAAAGCAGCGGCAAAAAGAAGAAAAGTGTTCAGCCTGGATTTAAAAGTAGTCAGAGTTGCAGCGGACCTGCAAGTTTCTGGGAGTTTGTTCCATGTAAATAGTCTAAAATCCCAAAGTTACCACCAGAGGGAGTTTCTATCTATTCTTCTTCTATCATTAATGTAGAAAAGGGTTTTACATTAAAACCATACATTGGACATGAAGTGTTTTTGACAGGAGTGTAGTCTCGTCGTTATCACTTTAAATTCTCATGGCTTCTTCTCCTTATGATAAGCTGACCTCCCAAGTACTCATAACTGCCCTCATGCCTCATAATGTGTGTGTGTGTGTGTGTGTGTGTGTGTGTGTGTGTGTGTGTGTGTGTGTGTGTGTGTGTGTGTGTGTGAGAGAGACGTGAGTAGGCATTGATTGGTTCTGACTTTTCTTGTATATCTCCTTCACATAAGTTTGTGTTTTTGAGGCTCCCATGGAGTTTGTGTGACTCTCATTTAGCAGTTAATGATATGGCTTTTTCATTTCCGGGACCAAATGCCTTCCTATAATTGTGATGTGTAGCTGTCTATGTATGTTCCTTTTCCCATTGGCTGTCTCCTGATCTGTGTGTCCTGAGCGTCCATTGTGCAGGCAATCGGATTATCCCCAGTCACGGTTGGCTCCAGCGTTTTACTGCTGTCCTAATGAGTATGAATGGACATGCTTGTCGTGAGGGGTGGACGCTTTGTCTAACGACATAGCAGGGAAATAAAGTAAGGTCTAATGTGATGTGTGATAGTAACCTAACCTACTAAGGTCAACCAAAGTGTGTGTTAGCTAGCTGCTGTTTCATTATGTTTAACCATGTTGATATGTTCCTGAGAAAGAGGTGGCTTGAATTTCAAATTGACAGTGAAATACTGAAAGTTACTCTGCTTTCTTTAGGACTGTCACTAATATTACTCTGGTTAACTGTGGCTGGCTGTGATGTAGTGCTGCCGTCTTTCAGAACGTGTTGGTGAATGATAACTTGTACTGTATATACAGTATATAAAAACGCTTTGAAGACTCGTAAAGACTATAAAGTACTATATAAATACAGCCCATTTAACATTTTTTCTTTTAAAAGTTTTCCCCGTTTTTTTAAATATAAGACATGAAAGAAAAGGTTTTGACCATCAATGTGACATGTGGATGTTTTTAGGAGTTTCTGTGAACCCTCTCATGTTTTATATTCAACCAGATGTAATGTTGCACCTCCGTTTTGCCCTGCTCTGTAGAGAAAGGTTTTAAACACTCTGTTTTTGTGGGTAGTGTGGTAGATTTCACATAGTTTTAGCTGAAAGTGGGCAACCTCTCTGCCTCTCTCTTTGTTTCTCCATCCCTCTGGCCCGGCCAATCCCTCCTGGCCATGAACAGAATGAATGTCAGTACTCTGACAAACCCACTCTATTACCTTCCACTGGTCCCAATCTGAAGATAATCATCAGTGTGTATGTGTGTTTTTTGCGATGTTGGCAAGATCAGGAAAGGTCAAGGGGATTGCATTTATTTTGTGCATGTGCTTGTCCACGTATACATGTACGCAGGTTGGCATGGGTGAAGTGTGAGCCTGACCCAGTTTGTAATGAATCGGTTTCGCTCAGTGGAGCCTTAAAAGATCCATAATAGGCCTCAGTGGAAATTAAGCCAAAGAAATACAGAGAAAATGAAGGGAAGGGAGAAAGTAAAATAAGGTTGAGAGACATTTTTGGCAACTAGAGAATAAGCTCTGGAGTGGAGGAGGAAGAACAAGACAGAAAGACAGGGGGAGAAGCAGTAGAGGCCGCTGAGAGATGTTGCAGCTATTATTATTATTATTATATTACAGCAGTCGTTTTTTTTCAGTGAACCACAAGTGGGCCTTCAGAAATACAACTCTGT